TCTTTGCACTTCTTAGTTTCCTTATAATGTGGTGATCAGAACAGGACACAGTATTCCAGATACTGTTTGGCCAGTGCAGCTTAGGGCAGAAGTATAACTTCTTGTGATTTCAACGCTATAAGTCTCTTGATGCAGCCAAGGTTGCATTATGTTTTTGCAACTGCAGCACACTGGTGGAACACGCTTAATTTCTCTTAATCCTACTGCCAAGCCAGGTACTTCCTATTATATACCTGTGCATCTACTGTACCAATGCAGATTCAGTGGTGGGATTCAAGTAATTTAACAACCAGTTCTCTGCCCTAATGATTTCTTCCAACAACCAGTTTGCCAAACTGCTCAGAAAGTTAACAACCGGTTCTCCCGAAGTGGTGCGAACTGGCTGCATCCCACCACTGTGCAGAATGCTATATTTCTCACCACTGAACTGCATTTTATTGGGAAAGTCCATTGTTCCATACTGTCAAGACCTTTTTGAAACCTGAAATTGCGTTATGTTGCCTTCAGAATTTGATGAACATCCTTTTCTAGTCTGTGACGTTATGAAAATGTTGGCCACTTTTGGAGCCATGTCATTTATCCGACTCAAATTCAGCACATCTTATTGAATTGGTTACTACTTTATTTTTATTTTTACTTCCCTAAAGAATTCCCCCATCTCCATTTGATTTGTTTCCTAAGTTAAACCCTCACTCTTAATTTTCCTTCTTTTGTTTTCAGTAATTTTTTTCTATCTTATTATTTTAAAGATTATTGCTGTCTTCTAGAGTATTAGCCATTGATAAAACAATAAAATAGATTTAGGAATATCACCGCTCTTGACTATGTTTCAAGCTTGTAGCCCTATGTTCTTTACAATTCAGGTTAAAGAGATTTGTGAATTGATATTCCATTTGATAGCTGTTTAGTTGTCTAAACCTTTAAGATGCACATCTTGACAAGAACAAAATAATCAATAAGCAGCAATGTGAAACAAGGTTATTCTATGAACTAGGACAGGCTCAACCCTAATTAACTTCCAAAATGAGCAACAGAACAGCCATGAGTATAAGGTTATTGAAAGGCTGCAGAAGAAAACCCAGAACTGAACTGTTATTATTATTATTTTTTTACCAGATCTTTTAAACAGTGCCCCTGCCGTAATTCCTTGCTTTGTTTCTCTTTGTGGTCCATTTTCCAAAAATTTTCTCTGCTGTCCCCACAGGGTCAAAATTAAACAACTTCTACCCTTCCAATTAGCATAGCAGTCAATGTGAACCAGAGCTTCCAAATTATGACCCGATAGTTCCATTTTGGCACTGTTGTGGGCTCATAAAGTTTAGGAGAATAGCGGGAGCAGTACAAGCAGCAACCATCACATGTTCTAGGACAGGGGTGTCAAACTGGAATTCTTTGAAGGCCAGATCAGCATTGTAGTTCTCTGCCAGCTAGCTGGGGGGGGGATGGGATGGACGCCTCCTGCAGCACCCTGAAGGCCAAAACGGGGTGCGGGGGTGCGGGTGAGGCCCCTCGTACCCCATTTTCAGTCTGGGTGGCCTCCTGCAGCACTCTGCTGGCTAAAACAGGGTGGGGGGCCTTGTCCAGGGGTAAAATGAAGAGCCTGGTGGCGCAGCAGACTAATAGCCTGTTATTATCATTCAGCTGCCTGCAATTACTGCTAGTTCGAATCTCCCCAGGCTCAAGGTTGACTCAGCCTTCCATCCTTTCTAAGGTAGGTAAATTGAGGACCCAGTTTGTGGGGGCAATAAGCTGACTTTGTATAAATATACAAAAGTATGAAGGCTATTCAGGGCCGGATTTTCCTATAGGCTAACTAGGCTTCAGCCTAGGGCCTCAAGATCAAGAGGGGCCTACATTCAAATTGTTAGCAAAATTAAAATTACACTTTCACTATAGGTGAAAGGGCCTCATAAGTGGAATAGCCTAGGGCCTCTTTTCATCTAAATCCGGCCCTGAGGCTATTGCTGAGCACATTGTAAGCCGCCCTGAGTCTCCGGAGAAGGGCGGCATATAAATCAAATAATAATAAAAAAAATAAAATAAAATAATAAAAATATAAAATGCTCCCGGTTCGGACCGGCTCAGGCAAGTAGGTAGCGATGATGGCCGGTGGTTCAGAGAACCGGTAGCAATGGCAACCCGAGGCTCCGCCCACCCGCCCAGTCGTCGTTACTTCCTGCTTTTACTTCCAGAGAACCGGTAGTAAAAAAATGCTTAAAAAGTTTTTTAAAAAGTTCCGACGATCAGCTGAGCGATGCATGACCATGGGAACTTTTTCAGCATTACCAGGTCAGGAAACAGGTTTCCAAAGTAATAATGGAACGTATTTTATTGATGTGGGCTGTAGGGACAGAATCTTGAAAGCCTAAAAATAATTTTAGAGAATTAATAGTTAGAGGGGTTCCGTTTTCTTTTTCTGCTCTGAAATCATGTTTTGCTAACAGCGCTCCACGGTTTCTCCAAGGTCACTTCTATTATTCTCTATACTTGGTTAGGAACATGGGTCATTTGTTTGTTTGTTTGTTTTTCTTTATTTCCTCTTTTTTCCCTTTTACTTAGCCTTTTATTTATTTAATTTAATTGTAGCTGTTTAGGAGACTCAGATCCAGCAAATTCACTGTATTCTCTATGTTTTTCTCAGAAGACCTTTCTGATGTTGTGGCTAAATGTGTCTTTTGAGAACCTTACTAAGCCCATTGCAGGAGAATTTAATACTGCAGTAAATCCAGTTCACTATGATGTCACTTTTGGAATTTTCTAGGCCAGATACCCCAAGAGATCAGAAGCAAAAACAGCATTACTTTCCAAGGGATCAAATCCCAGGTTTTTGTTAAAAAAGTCAACTTTGCTAATCAACATCCTGATTACCAAACCCTTGAGCATCTTTCTCAGATTTAACAGCACAGAATAATGACCCTCTCTCAACCCATTTGCATACCAGAAGATTGTTGATTTACAAGAAATAGAAGAAACCTGCACCCCTAACAGGCATCTAAAACAGACTTTGTGGACTCTTATGCCCCATAGAAGGCATCTGTCTTCTATAGGGCCACTGTATCATCCCACATATCCTTCTTTATTAAAAACCAGACATTTAAGTCATGTCACAATCAAAGTGTCTTTTAGCAGAAAGGTGCAAGTATCAGGAAACAGTTTTACATAGTTGTGTATAGTTGTCTGAATGATAGATCCCACTTTCAGGGACTTTGGTGTATATTTCTCTATGGAATGTCCTTTCTTTGCTGTTAGGAAATTATACATTGGATTAATTGTGAAGTTCCATTTTGTAAAGTGAAAATGGGACATCCTGCTCATTCAGGCACCAATTTAATGGGGAAACAGGAGAAAAAAATGTATTGGGTTCCTTTCAGTACCAGCAACCAGTTGTACATAGTTATATATATTCTTTCTCTACCGTGTATTGTCAAATGTTCTTTATTTAAGGTCTTCTCCTTACTTATTCTAAAACTGGGAAGAGCTCTCTCTTCTTACAGGAAACTACCTCAAAAAGTTCTAGCCCTACCACCAGAGCTTCTTGTTAGGAGATACCTTCTATGACAGGGGTGTCAAACTCGTGGCCCACGGGCCAGATGCTTCACACGCTGGCCACACCCACTCCCATTTTAGCGAAGGGGGGAAAGTTGCGATACGTTACGTGATGACAACATGATGCACCCCTGTTCAGGGTGTCATATTTCCATAGTAGAAAATTAATCTTCACAATAAGAGCATTGAGATTTCAAACTGAATACAGAAGGACTCAAGTCTTCCGTATTCATAAACTATATTCATCCCAACCTCCTTTAGAGACCCAGGAGATTTGTGTTTATAAACTGTTTTTTTTTTTTTTTTAGATAAAACACAAACACTTTTATTTTTTAAAGCAAAGCGCTTGTTAAAAATCCGACCAGCGATCATGATAGAAAAATACATCTACATTACTTTGGAATAATGGAGCTAAGAGTCTGTAGACCAAGAACTCGTCATTGATTTTTCACTTCATTGCCACCCCTTGGTTAAACCTGCTAATCTTATGAATAGCCGGTTTCAAAATAATGAAAAAGCATTCTCTTTCTACGTGCATTTCGGAACACTCAGTTCAGGTATCGTTAGAAAAATTGTTCATGTGTTATGCTTTCCCCCTTCCTCACCCAAGATATTTCCCATATCGAAGTTCAGTGAGTAGATGGAACGTCCTCCTCAGTTTACCCTCATTGCCTTTCTAAAAATATAATAATCCCTAGCAAGACACTATTTTAAGAGATTCATATTTGAGGGGTAGATCCATGGGAGGCTTATTTTTGGCATGTCTGCATGTGTCATTTACAGATGGCTTGCATAGTTAGCACTGTGTACATTTTTATTCAGAGCTACTTCACACAGTCTAAAGGGAACGCTTCAGGATTTAAGGACCACAAGTTTAAAAATGTAGGGTATAGGAAAACGTTCTTTTAGGAACAGTAGTGTGTGCCTGAAATAATTTCATTCAGAGGGCCGTATTCTTAGCTTATTGGATCTGATTTGATAAGACCTGGCTGAGATATTTTCTCCAGGGACCTTAATGATCTTGCCACTTTCAATAAACATTCATAGAAATTCTGGCAGCTCGTGCAGAAGGGGAACTCGTATAAAAGACTTTTACCTTCACAAAATACTAAAAAAAAAAATGAAAAAATCTTCACCAGAAGACTAAAAGAAACTGTCAAGATGTGAAATTCAATCAATACGTGCAATTGAATTATAACACAAAATGATCACGTTACAGATATGCTGTCCAGGCATTTGGTTCTTTCGTTCTGAAAAAAACAAAGAGAGAAATCATTAGATTTAGAATGTGAATTTGGGACCAATGGGTGAGAAAACAAAGACTTTTTAAAAACGAAGATGGAAATTAAGGTGGTATCTTCCAGTCAACGCGTACTTCATTTTGGAACAGAATTGCATAGCGCTCATGTCTATACCTCTAAGAAATTTCCATTTTTTCACATAAAAAAATCCAGATACGAAGCCGAAGCTGCCTTCTTCGCCAACCTGAAGCTGTCTGACTTCAATATTATTGACACTCTTGGAGTTGGAGGTTTTGGCAGAGTTGAACTGGTAAGTAACATTTTTTTTATTATTATTTCTAAGCATGCAAAATCTGTGTAGGATTTTTATTTTACTTTTTTTTTAAGTTATTTTTTTGGTTTTGCTCACTTGAGGTAAATACTGCTTCCCATTACAGAACAAAAGATAAATATTATAAAGAGAGGTTAATAAAGCTATCAGCCACTGCAGAACTTTCTATTTAACTTTAAACAATAGTACATAAAAACAAAACTGGAAAAAAAAGCCTGTAACTGGTATGCAATTTCTAGTATGCTTTTATATTATTATTATTATTATTATTATTATTATTATTATTATTATTATTATTCATACTAAAACTAGAAGAGACATGAAACAAGGATTCCTATGGGTTCTGATAGAATTTAAGAGGATGTCTGATTAGATAGACAGATGATAGGTGGAAGATAGATAGATAGATAGATAGATAGATAGATAGATAGATAGACAGACAGACAGACAGACAGACAGACAGACAATTTTTTTCTTAACACTGTTTGCTTTGTTCTTGATCTTTACAACTAAATTCAAAATGCATTTACAATTTGCAAAGGAATTACGAAATAAATGACAATATTTTAGTGAACTTTTAACTTACGGTTTCAGTTTTGCATATTCTGTTTTTAAACTATTTATTTCATCTGTTTACCTGGCGGATATAAAGATATACATTTTGTTAAATATACTGAATACGATCTATAGAGGTAATGTAAATACAATTATGTTGAGCTATATGTAGCCAAAAGCAGAGAAGGAAAATATCAACAATCAAAATGTAGTTTTCTTGCTAAACCAAGCCCTTTGGCAATATAAATGTATGTTAAGAGAATGTGAAATGTAGCTGAGTAACTGTTTGTGCAATTATGTAAACCCACTGACTGACATCAGTTAAGAGGACTCCCGGAATATGACACCAGCCAGACTTAAGGAAACCCTATTAAGTAAAGGGATATCCTTTCCATAAAAGTAGCACAAGTAAGCATGCCTAACATTAACCAATTCAACAAGTGAGATCATTGTAAACATATAATTTATAAACATGTAATGTGAGATCATTGTAAACATATAATTTATAAACATGCAGTGCAACCCCATTGTTATAATTTAAGTTCAGCTGCGTTTCATGAAATTAACTCGGCAATGATTCTGGTCAAAGTACAAGTTGAAATCAACCATAGTACCTAAAGCAAAACAGAAAGACCATAAACATAATAGGGAGGGGGGAGCCGAGGCGGCACAGTGGTTAGAATGCAGTACTGCAGGCTACTTCTGCTGAGTGCCAACTACCTGCAATTTGGCAGTTCAGATCTCACCAGGCTCAAGGTTGACTCAGCCCTCCATCCTTTCTGAGGTCGGTAAAATGAGGACTCAAATTGTTGGGGCCAATATGCTGACTCTGTAAACTGCTTAGAGAGGGCTGGAAAGCACTGGAAAGCGGTATATAAGTCTAAGTGCTACTGCTAAGTGCTATACATCACAGCTAACTGATATACTCTAATAACTTCTGGATGGACATGTCCTAACCTATCATAGAGCTATGGGAAATGCCAAGTTTTCAAGGTTGATATATAGGATCCTCAAGGATATCAAGGATCATGGGGTTGGGCAATTCAAATGTCTGGGGAGACTGCTCTGAAGAGCAAACATCAACAAAGGAGGCACGCTTCCTAAGTCCCATTAGATAGTATTCTTGAAAGTTGGGAGAGGAAGCATGCCCACTGTAGCTGATCTTATGGGATGGGCAGAAACAGTGGAAAGATGCTAGTCCCTTGGACAGCCTATGCCATTGGGGGCTTTGAAGGTAAGAACCAGCACTTTGAATTGTACCCAGAATCTCAATAGTAAGCAGTGCGACTCATGTAGCAGAGGAGTTACATGACTGCCCTAAAGTGTAGCCATAATTGTATAACCACTGCATTCTAGACCACTGTCCATCCAAGCCATATTTAACCCAAAATTTCACCTACTCATCAATTTTTAATCAGATAGATAGATAGATAGATAGATAGATAGATAGATATAAAGTTTATTGTCATTGTACGTATATACACAGTATACCCATACAACGAAATTCACATAACACCCAGAGAGCAAGCCCAACACACATGACAATCTCCAGACCCCCACCCACCAAAAATTCCCCACCCCTAAACCACCCAAGCATCCACACAGCAGACATAGATAGATAGATAGATAGATAGATAGATAGATAGATAGACAGACAGACAGACAGACAGACAGACAGATATAGACAAAGAGAGAAAGTGTGTGTGTATGTATGTGAGAGAGAGAGGGAGGGAGGGAGAGAGGGGGGGAGAGAAAGGGAGAGAGAGACTATCTAGGATTGAATGGGAGGTGAGCGTTTTCGTCAGTAAGCCACTACATCGCTCTAATACAATGCAGCATAACTACGGTATTCAAAAATAGGCAGCCATATAGCTTTATCACGTAACAAGTAGCACTATTTCTATTACTGAGTGAAAACAAAAACTAAACCTATTAGATGAGTTCACAGCCACAGCACATAGCTGCATAGGATTGTCAGATGTGGGTAAAAGGTTGACAGGAGGCAGTAGTAATAAGAGCTGAATAGTAAAAGATTAGGAAGAGCATAGCAAATGGAATTGTCATTGTTATCTCTTTATCAGCAATAATAGTCATACAAAAGTCAGGGGTCTATATATCACTGTGTACTGATGGAATCGCAATCATGGGATTAGAAATAACCAAGACATTCTTCTGATCCATCTGTACCTTCCTGTTAGATCCTGATAGGAGAACAATATTTTTAAAATGGCTTGTGGCTCTTGGCTCATGTAAATCCTTGGCAGGATTTGGAGGCTGCTTCCCTTCCCTAGAAATAGCCAAACCATCTAAGTTAGTCCTGTTCAACCTCAGACATTTTAAGATGTGTGGCTGCACAATTCTGGGAGTGAAATCCACGCCCCCTTAAACTGCTGAGGTTGAAAAACTAATTTAACACCATGTTTTATTAATATAAATGTGGGCCAAAAGAGAAATATAAAATGCCCAATTTAACTTGTTTATCTATTGTTTGTGAACAGATGATATGGAGGCCATGATGTATAAGAAATGGAAAATAATTCTTTCCTCCAGCAAGAAAATACAATTATGTGGCACAAGCTATTCAAATACATGCAGCCGGATAGCTTTATCATGTAAAAAGTAGCATTATTTCTATTCCTGTGTGAAAACAAACATTTTTTATCAAGTTAGGTGATACGCTTTGAAGCTGTGCTATAGGCAAAAGTGAAAACTTCAGTCTATACATCACTACAAACTATATAGTTTTCCTGTACGGCCTAATTCCATAAAATTTTCATTTACTTTCTGACTAGCAGTGAGTAATTGCCAATGATATATTGGCATAGTCACAGTATATCTGAATTTTTACAGTTTTAACATTGCTTCTGTCTAACAAGAAGGTAGGACTTAGCCTATCTTGACTAAGGTGACCAGATTTTAACATTGGTAAAGAGGGACATTGTGGGCGTGGCTTATTTTGTGGGCGGGGCTAGCTGGTCATGTGACTGGGTGGGCGTGGCTAGCTGGTCATGTGACCGGGTGGCCATGGCTATGTGTATAGGATAAGGTGAACAAATTTTAACATTGGTAAGAAGGACACCATTGTGGGCGTGACTTATTGTGTGGGCGTGGTTTGGAGGCCATGTGACTGGGTGGGCGTGGCTAGCTGGTCATGTGACTGGGTGGCATGGCTATGTGTATAGGGACTACTCAGAGGGCTGAAAAGTCATTTCTGACAGGTCCTCACACTTTTGACTGGTCCTCACACTTATGACCATCCTCACATTTATGCCCGTGCAGCATTCTTAACAACCATGTCACTCATTTCACAATTGCTTCTCTTCACCATGGTGACAAGATAGGGCAAAAATGTAAAATGTGAGGACAGTCATAAGTTCGAGGACTGGTCAAAAGTGTGAGGACCAGTCAAAAATAACTTTTTCAGCCCTCTGAGTAGTCCATATGCATTAAAGGATACAGCAATAGAGAGGGATGAAGGAATGGAAATTAGAGTAGGAGTGAGGGTAAGAGAGGGAGGAAGAGAGGAGGAGAAGGAGAAAGGAAGACGAAGTAGGGAGGAGAAAAAGAGGGTGGGGGGGAAGAGAAAGTAAGAAGGAAAGAAAAGAGAGAGGTGGTAGGTTTGAGGAGAAAGATTGCTGTACAATAAAAAAGATGAAAGGGAAGAAAGCCAACCCCAAGCAAATATAAAGATATTAAGATTAAGAATGAATTGTTAAACTTTAAAGAATAAAAGAGAACAAATATGAATAAATAGCAATAATTAGAAACACACATACAAACATACAATGTATTTTCTTTGAACAGAATATTTGGCTGGTTCACAAATTTAAACAGCGTTTAGTCATTTCAATTAAATTTACAATTTCTATATTTCCTTTTTGCCATATTTAGTCCTCATCTATTTTTTAAAAAAAACAATATTACCCTTCATCCTCATCTCTAATCTTAATCAAATTCAATTTTTCCCTTCTATTCTATATTATACCCCTTCCCATTGTCATCTATTTTTATATCCATCCTCACATTGGTTAATTATGTAATTATGTAATACAGTTGTTTAATACAAATTCAACATTTTAATATAAATCAATTAGTTATATAACTAATAACCAAGAGCCTTGGTACTACAGTGGTTTAAAGCACCCTGTTATTAACACAGCTGCCTGCAATTTACTGTTGGTTCGAATCTCTCCAAGGCTCAAGGTTGACTCAGCCTTCCATCCTTTCTAAGGTAGGTTAAATGAGGACCCAGTTTGTGGGGGCAATAAGCTGACTTTGTATAAATATACAAAAGTATGAAGGCTATTGCTTAATGCACTGTAAGCCACCCTGAGTCTCCGGAGAAGGGCGGCATATAAATCAAAATAAAATAAAATAAAATAAAATAAACTATCTTTTTTGTATATTAATCAATATGAACATGA